AAACTAAAAAAAAAAAAAAAAAATAAAAAAAAAAAAAAAAAAATTAAACCGTATGGAATCGCCGATTCACTGTTCCGACTCGCCGATTCCGTACAGTGAATCGGCGATTCACTGTACAGAATCGTCCGGTTCTCTCTAGAACCGGACGATTTTCGATTCTTTGGGCGATCCGGTCCCTTTTCAAGATTTCTAAGTCAAACCGGGCGAGTCCGGTTCGACTCGGCGTTTTTTAAAACGCTGGTGTGGAGTATGGCCATTAGTGAATTAAATGTGTGGAGTATGGCTAAAATATAGGATAATGATGTCAAATCTCATCCACTCATCAAAATGTCTTGATGATAGATGAGTGGCTAGGAGTAGGCCTCTCTTTATGCTATAAGTGTTTGACATGAATGATCACGATTCACCTATCTAGAAGCATCTCTACGCTTAAGCCTAAAAATACCTCTCACCCTATGTATTTGATCACTCATAACTCTCCCATTCACTTTCTAAAGGCACGCCCAAGCATATATCTCTCTCTCTCATATAAGTTTTAGTAAGTGACAGTGATTTTCCGTTTGTAAGTTTAGCGAGATAAGGGTGATCTGGATGATATTAGTGAGAGAAAGTAGAATTGAGCTCCATTAAAGCTCAATTCAAGCTGCATAAAAGTAGATATTGATCATGAGGCCTCAAGGCGTTGAAATTGTTTGTGATTATCTCCTTCAACCTTGAAGCAATCCATAGTTGTAAAACATCATTTACAACAAGGTATTTTTATATGCTAGTTCTCCATTTTAAGAGGTTTTGGTCTTAAAATTACATATGAGTTTAAGGTTTGATTTAGGAGAATGTTTCTACGATGTTTATAAGATTTAATTGATTAAACGTTTCTGAGATTTTGGGATCAAAATCAGTCAATTAATGCTAAAAAACGATGGAGCATTTAGAAGAATTTTAAGGGGAAACAATGTCGAATTTTCTCCATGACACCCCATCTTAATTTGAGCTTGATCTAGTAATTTTGAGCCTCATTTTACAATTTTTCCACTTGATTGCATCACAATTTGAAAGTTCCTTTCACCTAAACAGTACAGACCAAAGAAAATATAGCTTCCCATTATGTTGATGGAGTGAATTTGGCCTTACCATCACATGTCATCCTATGATGAGTAGCTAAGACCATCATGAACCAGGTGCCAAGAGCACTCAAGGCTGCCTATGATCAGGTAACTTTGATTATTTGAGCATTTACATGTTTATAATGTAGAGTTCATGTCTTAATGAGTCTTATGTTGAGATTGATGTGTAATTTTGCTATATAATTTTGTGTAATGTTGAATTTTGAGGAGCACCAGTTTAAGTGTTGTTTACTTGATTTCCTTGTGTAGTTTTGCATTGTTGTTGACAAGGGATCCGAGGTCAGTTGTATCTTCTACGTTTTGACTTTGTAGAAAGGATTTGAGTGGTTGTAATTGAGGCATAAAGTGCCATATGAGTTATATTTAGCAAGAATAGGAGGTTGTATTGCCTAATTTGTATCAAATTTGAAAGTGTTGCATCTTGGACTTGCTTTTATTCACACTCTTTTTGTTAGAAACCTAATCTCTCTTTATAGAAGGGCTCGTGCAATAGTTAGAATGCCCTATACTCTCTCATGGTAGTGTCCTATTCAAGTTGAACACCACAGGTCCACTGCTTAGCTTTGACTTAATAATATAAAACAGATAACTCCAAAAACTATAACATAAGATCCTAACTTTGTAGTTTGCATGGTTGTTTTCAAAAGATCAAAACAAGCAAACTATAGAATTTTAGAATTTGTAACTTCTTCATTCATAAGTCAAAATCTCTATTTTTATATTTCTTGATAGGCTTGGGGGTAAGGTTTGTTACCCAAATCCATTATTTTATTTATCCCAAAGTGAGTATGCATGAGGCCCGAGACTATGACCTCTATGGTTTATAATGGAATTATGAGGAAGAATACATGCCTAACATTTTTATCTAATTAAAGATAGTCTATCATGTATAATTGATTTACATTTCATTTTATTTCAATCAATTATGCTTTCTATTTTACCATCCAAGCTTTGCTGCCATCCATGCCTTTGCAAGTATCTCTTTAAAGGATATCTTTCCTCCCTCTTCTCATCTTTTTCCTCGTTTTTTACTCCTTTTGTTGCGGTATCATTTTGAAACATACCACGTTGTTTTTGTGCTAACTCTATCCCTAGTAGCATAAATACGTAGCATGTGTTTATTTGCTAAACTTTATATAGAGTGTTCCTCTTCAATGGGGATACATGTATTATTTTCACTTACTACACTCAACATAATATATTTTTCTCATTATTTGGGGGGGCAAACTTGGTCAAATTCTGTACTATTGATATAATATAATACAATAAAACTAATTACATTGCATGGGCTAATTTTCGAGAGAATTGGTCCAATGTGTCGTTTTCTATAAAGTTGAGATACAATAAGAGACATCGAGTACTTTCTCAAAGTGGCACAACATTGGATGAGCATCAGATGTTTTTAGAAAACATGACGACATATATGCTATTTAAAATGTTGAAGATGGGTTTATCATTATCGTAATCCTTAATAGACTGCGTAAATATAGCTGAATTCAACAGCAGCAGTCCACACTAAATATAGTGAGAGAGAAGCAAAATAGAGAGAGAAAAGTGACAAAGAGAGCAAGGAAGAAGAGAAAAACCAGAGAGGAGAGAATGCTCTATAAATTTGGTTCTCCCCCAAAAATGTATGCATTTCTGAACTATAGCCTAAACGCTCCATAAGCCTAAAACCCAATATAATAATGGAGAAAAACCAGAGTTCAAACCCCCACCTCCAACGGATAGAACAAGAAAACAAAAATGCAATCACCTTAGCTCACAACGTCCTAAACATTCTTTCACCTTATGATCCCAATCATCAATGGAATACCCCTTTGAGGTCAGTCACAGAAACGAAATTGTCGAAAGTTGCCAAACAAACCATTAATGGATTTCAGCGTGTTATCACTCTATTAGATAGAAGGGGTCATGCTGTATTTAGAAGAAAACCTTCTTCCCCTTCACTTTTAGATAGAAGGGATCAAAACCTTTCATTTCCTTTGTGCCAAAAAAGACCTTTATATCCTCAAGTTTCTGATCACTACTTTGATTGCTATGGTCGAGTTCTGAATAATTTTCAGTCAAAAATGGAAGGAAAAAGGCCTTTGGTTTCAACTGAATTTGCTTCTTCTTCTATGTCTTCTTTTAGGCCTCTCATGCCACCTCTTCCTGCTAAAGTTAATGACAATAAAGTTATAAGCAGGGGTCTGCCATGGAGTTACGTGCCAATAGCTCCTGTTCCAAATAGGGAACATGGTTCTTCTAATGGTATGGATGGCCATGTAGGAAGCAGTGAAGATGGCACCAAAGTAGCTGCGAAATACCTTTACTGCAAAAGGTTATATTTCCTTGGATAACTATGTCCATCTCACTCTCATGTACCCATTCTCATCTCTCTGTCACACGCACAGACATGCACACATTCTCTCTCTCACATACACATAGCACATCAAATGGCCATATTGCTCTCTGTCTCTCGTCTACGATATTGATATTCATCTCTCTCAAACATATAAAAATTCATAGGCAGCTCTCTCTCTCTCTCTTTCTGTCTCCTCAGATATGCATATTCATCTCTCAAACATACTAAAGTTGATAGGGTTCTCTCTCTCTCTCTCTCTCTCTCTCTGGCAAATCATATTGCCATATTCACCTCATTGTCTCTCGGTGACACACACATATATATATATTAAATTTCTCTTGGGGATCTATATTCATCTAGATTTCTCTTGGGGGATCTATATTCATCTCGATCTCTCCCTCACATCGAGTCCAGAACACATATTCAAAATACATCTCTTTCTCACATAAATAACTATATCTATCTTTTTATCTGTGTTTGTTTTCTCTTCTGGGTCATGGTTTGAGGTTGTATTATTTGCTATGGACCAGAGATTGTGGTATAATTGTCAATTTTTTAGTGAAAAATAAATAATTTGAACATCTTCGGCAAATGAGCAATTAAAAAAGTGTTTAAATAATGTAAGGGGTGATCTAGTCTTATATCTTCAAAATATCATTGAATTTGGGGAAAGTGGAATTGAAGAGGTGACAAATTTTAACTTAGAATATATGTTTGTCTTACTTAAATTTTGACTACGGTATCAAATTCACATGGATTTTTTGTAAAAAAAAGAAAGAAGAAGAAGTAATTGTTTTGTAATCTATATGGTTTCTATCTTTCATTTATATGTATTACATAAAATAATTTTGATAGGCTACAATCTTTTTAATAAAATAGTATCTTTTGATGTGCTATAAATGAAGTGATTCTAATATGGGGGTAAATATAAGAAAACTTAGTTGAACTTGCAGACCAGCAATAATGCGTGAAAATTAGCAAAGTTTTCTCTCTATCTCAGTCTTATTCACAATTTGCACCTCTTATTCTACCCTTAGTCAAGGGTTTCGACAATTTTGCTATTTTCAAGCTCATCCTCTTTACATCTTTGTTTTGTTTTAGGATTTGCAATTTTCACCCTAGTCATTGTTTCCTTTATTTTTCTATATATATATATATATATATACTACTAATTTCATCTGTATGGATATATTGGAGTTATAAAATGACGCAGCATATGATTATGTATTTAGAGAGTGCATTTACGTTTCCCTGAATGTACACAAACTGTTATCTTTTATCCATAGCCATTTTTTGTAAAAGCCATCAGAGCATGGCATTTCTCTATATATTCAGGAAAATTACTTCGAATTTCATGATAAATGCTACACCTCCACCTATCTAATTTTGATTTTGTATGTCACAGCTATGGGTCACAAATGGTTTTGTAATTAATTAGGACTCTTATTTTACACTTCCTATTTTTGCTCATTTACTTATATTTGTATATGTCTGTGTGTGCTATGTTTGTATTTAAATGGGTGTCTATATTGCAGGAAAATGAATATAAAAACATCCATTACAGTTCCAGCCATAAGCAAGGACTTATCAATGACACCCTCAGACAATTACTCATGGAAAAAGTATAGCGAAAGGACTGTGAAGGGCTCCCCGTACCTTAGGTACATCTAAAAGAAATCATGTCCAATAATTTTCTATGAATTTTGTTAACTAAACCCCATTCCATATGTGGTCTAGTTTTCAAGTTTTTTATGCCTTTCTGTGAGAGAGAAAATATATATCAAATTGTTCTATTATATTGAATTTGTATACCAGTGTTTTCGTTTCCATGGCATCCTTTTATATTATGGCAACTGCTTTCTTTTAAATTGACTCTAAATCCACAAATCTAGTGAATAATATATCTTAAAATGAATTTCGATTTTACAATTCCTATTCTTACTTAGCAAATAAGCAAAAACATATAAATCGCTTACATTTAAACAATATTACTTGTAACATGCATCATCTTGAAGGAGTCTCTGCAGTTATCCATGATTTATGTGTTATTGTTGTTAAATTTGTTGCATAAACTTTGCCTTGTTTCATTTGTTATATTTTTTAAATTTAAGATTAACAAATTACTAGTGAATAATTTGTACTATCACCCATTATTGTTAGGTATTATAAAAGTGAAATGAAAAATATTTTTGGTAATTGCCACAAATAAAGCATTGTAATTAGTTATCGAGCCATACATCAATGACACCATTAGTCCCAATGACCTTCATTTGTTTTTTTATTTTTGTTAATTTCTTAAATTAGGTTCAAAATCAATTAATGTCCTAAATTAGCTTCAAAATCAATTCATTGAGGTGCTAAACTTTTGATTTTGACAAAATCCAAAAAGTACAGATGGTATTAGAAAATGGAAAAGTGTACAATAAAACTATTTATGTTTTGGTACAAAGTGGTCACCATTCGATTTAATTTTTTTTAACTTAAGATTAACAAATTACCAGTGAGTAATTTGTACTGTTACCCATATGATTGTTAGGTATTATAGAAGTTAAATGGATAATATTTTTGGTAATTGCCACAAATAGCGCATTGTAATTATCCATTTCTACATCAATCACACCATTAGTCCTAAAGACCTTCATTAATTTCTTTTGTTTTTATTGATTTACTAAATTAGGTTCAAAATCAATTCTATGAGGTGCTAAACTTTTTGACAAAATCCAAAAAGTATGAATGGTATTAAAAAAAAAGGAGAAGTGTACAATTAGACCTTTTACATTTGGTACAAAGTGGTAACCATTGGATGTGAACCTGGGTGGCGACATTTATTCCATTGACCAAGGTCAAAATTAAAAAAAAATAATTTCGAACTTTGTGACACCCATAAGTTATTAGATTTCACATCGAATGATTATAAGTAATTATGACTTCCTTAAACTAAAGTTGAATGATCTCATTGTATACTATCCTTTAAAAAAAGTGAAATCTAGTCTAATAGTATAGTTTCACAATTTCTTTGTCTTGTCATACAAATTTGGGTCAATTATTTACTACTTTTCACCCACCGATGTGTGGATTGTGGAACTGGTAGTCAATATCTATTTTTCTTCAAGAAGCTACACCATCATAGTGTTTTCTATACTAAATGCTATCAATGCGTAGTGTATGTTTTCAATAGTGTGCATTAACGGTGAAACAACGGTTGCACTCTGTTACTTCTCGGTCATATCCCAAATTTGATCTTCATGATGGATTGAAGAGCCAAACACTCACAAAACACACAAATATCAAATTTAACCCCAAGAATGTGGATTTCAAGATCTTGAAAATCTCAAGATTTGGTCAGTTTGACATCGAAAGAAATCGATTTAGATCAGATTTCGATGGCAGTCAAGACATATTTAGCTCACAAAATCCCTTATTTTCGTTCATAAAATTGATGTCAGAGGGTAAAAAACAATTGTTTTATATAAGTTTGGCTCCCTCATCCAAAGATGATTGAGAAATGTGGTGTGGCTTCATGGTTTTGTGTGAGGTCCCCTCCTATATTCCCACTCATTCTTTGAGTGTAAATAGTAAAAAAAAATGGGTGCAAATAAAAGAAATTACTACAAATAGCAAGCTCTTATGTTTTCCTAGTCTTTAGACACTCTTGTGTCCTAATGTCATCTACTTTGGGGTAGTACAGGTTGTTCTATAAGTGCGCAACTGCAGAGGGTTGCCCCGCAAAGAAGCAAGTGGAGTGGTGCAAGGACAACATCAACATGGTCACGATCACCTATGAAGGCTTTCACATGAACCATGCACTTGCATTTGAGGCTGCACGCATACCCACAATTAAGCCAGACCTTGAACTTGCAAGCTCAAGTACAGTTGCACCGGCACTCACACCCACACTCACACCTGTGCCCGCACTTACACTTGCACGTGCACGCACATCTGCACCTGCACACGCACCCCCACCCGCACCCCCACCCTCACCGGCGTAATGTGCTTGTGTTTGTTATTCTCTTTATCGTCTTGTCTTTGTCTAATTTTGATTAGAATAGAATAGGTCTACATTAAACACTAGTGATATACATCGAACTGTTCATCCAAATTGGCCATGGCGACCTTTGTTGTATTGAGGATTGAAACTTTTAGAACTGTCACCCAGGTTATGAGTTCAAGGTTCCATTCTAAATTCAAAAGAAACAAAATGAAAGAGCTTGATGGAAAAGACATTCTTCAAGACCAATAGAAATTAGATTATTTGTGGGTGGAAAATGAAAGAAGTGGGTTGGGTACCATAACCTTCCAAAGTGGTTTGAGATGTTTGAGTTCCTTCAATGAATGTATTATGTGTCAATATTTGAGTTTGCATGTGTTGTGTGTGTGTGAGAAAGAGGGAGAATGATCTTTAAACTTTGCTTTCACTTTGAAATGGTATATTATTTCTATACAATATGATACATGTTGATCATCTTGACATCAAGAAGCATGGACATGAGAAAAAAATGGATTCAAGTTTTGAAAATAGTATATTTTGTAACACATTTTTGGACCTCAATTTTCAAGATTTTCAAGTTTTCATAGATCTGTTGATCTACACTATTTTTAAAGCTTTAAACTGTATAAATAAATATAAAAGCATATTTTAAGGCTATTACAAAGATTTCCAATATTGAAAGCACATTTTTCGATACTATTTGAAGGTAGGCTCTAATTTGATTGTTTAGAGCATAGGCTCCATACATACTGCACCCTTTAGATATTATTAAAATATTATATATTAAATGTTAAATATTATTTATATAATAATACTATTAAGGTCAAGTACGGGTCGGGTACACATGGACACAGAACCCCAAATAGTGTTCGGGTCCAATTCTTAGACCCATACCCAGAGCCAAGTTGGGTCCAGACGTCAAGTTCTGGGTCACGTTTGGGTCCATTGCCGCCCGTAATTTGGATGTAGATTGATGTAATATTCATACAAGTTCCCATTTATGGGGCTATAAACAATCTATAGAGTTTGAAACTCCCATTTATTACAATTTAGATAGTCCTAAACAACTTTTTTTTTTATTCCAATCTCTCTGGGAATTTGGATGTGGATTGATGTGATATTCACACAAATTCCTATTTATGGCATTGTACAGCAATCTATAGAGTTTGAAACTCCCATTTATTACAATTTAGTCTTAAATTATTATTAGGTTCCAATCCCTTTGGGAAAGGACAACAAGGTTTTTTGAAGTTAGATGGCCAAAGATATGTGCTACTATCTTTATGACGGGTTCGTGTCTCTAACGATGTGGTATGTGCCACAAGAGTATAGAAGGTATGTGCTCTTCGGAATATTTGAAAGACTTTTCTTTTTTGGTTGTTAAATGGGAAATGGTCTTCTATCCATGGTAGGAATGAAACTCAAGACGTCATGTTGTGACATCCACCATTTTGATGATCACCCATGCTTTGAACTCATTCTTATAATATTTAAAAAATTATATATATATATATATATATATATATATATATATA